TTCCCGCTTCCTATCACAGAGTTAATGATAGATGCCGTGACTGGGCATGAGATCCTGTCATTCATGGACGGCTCCACCGGCTACAATCAAATCCGCATGGCGCCGGAAGATGAAGACTTAACTGCATTCCGAACGCCGAAAGGCATCTACTGTTACAAAGTAATGCCCTTTGGTTTGAAAAATGCAGGTGCTACATACCAAAGGGCTATGCAGATAATATTTGATGATATGCTCCATAAAATGGTCGAATGCTACGTAGACGACCTGGTTGTGAAGTCGAAATTGCGCACAAATCACTTGGTGCATTTAAGGCAAGTCTTCGACCGCCTACGAAAGTTTCAACTGAAAATGAACCCCCTGAAATGTGCTTTTGGGGTTGCTGCTGGAAAGTTCCTCGGGTTTACTGTTCGACATAGGGGTATCGAGATTGAACAAGCAAAGATTGACGCCATAATGAAGATGCCTGAGTCGAGAAACCTTCATGAGCTTAAAAGCTTACAAGGGAAGTTGGCTTACATCTGAAGGTTCATATCAAACCTAGCAGGAAGATGTCAACCTTTTAGTCGGTTGATGAAAAAGGGCATCCCATTCATGTGGGATGAGGCATGCAAGAACGCATATGAGAGTATCAAGTCATACTTGATGAAGCCGCCTGTGCTAACCGCTCCTGTTCACGGTCGCCCACTAATCCTCTATATCTCCGCCCAAGACAGTTCTGTGGGAGCCTTGCTTGCTCAGGAAAATGACAAGGGGAAGGAGAATGCTCTCTACTATCTTAGTAGAATGATGACCCCGAACGAGTTAAAGTACTCCCCAATTGAAAAGCTATGTTTGGCACTTGTGTTCGCCATCAAAAAACTTAAGCACTACTTCGAGGCTCATACAATCCGGCTTGTTTCCAAAGCGAACCCGGTGAAGTATGTTATGGCGAAGGTCGTGCTCTCTGACCGCCTTGCAAGGTGGTACTTATTATTCCAACAATTTGAAATCATCTATGTGCCGCAGAAGTCTGTCAAGGGGCAAGCCTTAGCCGATTTCTTAGCAGACCATCCAATACCTGCTGAATGGGAGTTGTCTGACGATTTGCCTGATAAAGATGTGCTTGTCATTGAAGTCCTACCCCCATGGAAAATGTACTTTGATGGAGCTTCGCATAGAGAAAGGGCAGGTGCTGGAGTTGTCTTCGTCACTCCAGAAGGCGAGGTGTTGCCATATTCATTCACCTTGACCGAGCAATGTTCAAACAACGTCGCTGAGTATCAAGCATTGATACTTGGGCTCGAAATAGCGGCTGACATGAAGCAACTAAGAATTAACATTTATGGAGATTCAAAGTTGATCATAAACCAAGTGTTGGGTCTATACGAAGTGAAAAAGGCGGAGTTAGTCCCATATAACAACTATGCAAAGATACTCATGCAATGGTTAGGGGACGTCACAATTGAACATGTACCGAGGAAAGAAAACAAGCAAGCTGACGCCTTAGCCGCATTGGCTTCAACTATTGCTCATCCTGCAGCCCGAATACAAGTATGTCAAAGGTGGGTGGTTCCACCAATCTTTAATGAAGACGGCTCAGTTGATGAAACTGTTGAACTCCATACTGCCTCAGTGTATGATATAGGCAAAGACGACTGGAGGCAACCGCTAATTGACTACCTCACTGATGGAAAGTTACCTGAAGATCCCCGTAAAAGGGTGGATATAAAGCGTCGAACTCCTCGCTTCATCTACTATAAAGAAATATTGTATCGTCGTTCCTTTGATGAAATATTTCTCCGATGTCTAGGGGAAGAGGAAGCTTTACAAGCTATGCAAGAAGCTCATTCTGGGGTTTGCGGTGCACATCAATCCGGTCCCAAGTTGCATTTCCACATTAAGCGAATGGGATATTATTGGCCTACAATGGTAAAGGATTGCATAGACTATGCTCGAAGGTGCCAAGCTTGTCAATATCATGCAAACTTTATCCATCAACCACCAGAACCTCTGCACCCAACAGTTGCATCTTGGCCATTTGATGCTTGGGGACTTGATGTGGTTGGCCCAATTACGCCTAAGTCATCTGCAGGGCATGCCTACATACTAGCTGCCACCGATTACTTTTCAAAGTGGGTGGAAGCCGTGGCATTGAAGGAGGTGAAGAAAGAAAATGTTGCAGACTTTCTCCGTGTCCACATCGTCTATCGATTTGGTATCCCGCGATATATCTTAACAGATAACGGGAAGCCCTTTGACAACAAGTTGATGGACAAGATCTGCAAGCTTTTTGACTTTAAGCAGCGAAACTCATCAGCTTACTATGCAGCTGCAAATGGGCTTGCTGAAGCTTTTAACAAAACCCTATGCAATTTGTTGAAGAAAGTGGTCTCAAAATCGAAAAGGGACTGGCATGACAGAATGGAAGAAGCTTTGTGGGTGTATAGAACCACATATCTCACACCTACTCAAAGCACTCCATATTCTTTGGTGTATGGTGTGGAAGCGGTCTTGCCTCTAGAGCGCCAAATACCTTCCTTAAGGTTGGCTATACAGGAGGGTCTTACTGATGAAGAGAATGCCAAGTTACGCTTGGCTGAGTTAGAAGCCTTGGATGAAAAACGTCTGGCAAGCGCAACAAAGCTTGGAGTGCTATCAAGCTCGTATGTCTAGAGTTTTTAACAAAAGGGTAAGGACCCGTTCCTTTCAAATTGGGGACAAAGTCCTAGCTGTTCGCAGGCCCAATCATCGTCACGAGAAAAACCGGTCACAAGTTCACTTCAAGGTGGGATGGTCCCTACATGATTTTAGAAGTTTACACCGGTGGGGCTTATAAGCTAATTAGTGAAGATGGTTTGAAGATCGGTCCGATTAATGGAAGGTTCCTAAAGCTTTACCACCCTTAAACTTGGGGTGTCAACACAAGTCATGAAGATCTGATGAATGACTCATCCACTAAAAATGCAGCACGTGGTTAAACTGCTAATGCATCTCGCTTTGTCTATGGGTGGGCCCAAATCATAGACGCCCCTGGCCCGCATGAGTCTAAACTGTGAACGGCTCTACTTTGTAAAAAAAAAAAAAAAATCATTTGAACTACGTTTGACTTGATCTCCTTTATAGGAGTACGTAGGCAGCTTAGAAATCAAATTATCTAAGTTCAGTCATAACAAAATCAAATCGAATTCATGTTGCAAGAGTGGGTTATCTAGACAATCCTTCAATGGGTTGAAAGAAAAGTTGTTTGAATTATCGCTAAAGGACCGGCACATAAATGAGGAGCATTCAATTATCAAAAGTTAGAAACGAAACAACAAAAGTTCTTGCAATCAAAAGAGAAACTAAATGACAAAGAGTATCAGCCAATAAAAAAGCCTAAAGCTAAGCATATCGTCTTTGCACGCTTCTAAGCCTCTCTTTGCCTCCTTTAAGCTCGTTTCATCTTCTGGCGTCAGTACAGTCAGTCCTTAATGCGGGCGACCTCTGCCCCAGCCTCCGAAACGGCGTCTTGGGCGTTGCCTAGGTCATCTGTAATTTTGGCATCGCAGTGTCGCATTCCTCTGCCTTGGCACGAACTAACTTCAGTTCTTTCTCCAATTCCTCTTCCCGATCTTTTGTGGCCTTAAGCATCTTATGTTGGGCCCAATAGATCTTTCTTGAGTTTCCTAAACTCGTCTTGTGCATTCTTCAGCGCATCCTTCGCCAGGGATAAAGACTGAGACTCGCTCGAAGTTTTGTCAGAAATTGTGGACCTTAAGTTATCAAAGGCTTGAGCTTTCGTGAAAATGTCTGCAACCCGTGTTTCCAAGGGAGAGATATCAATGTCTAACTTCCGCAGATTTGCAAAAGCGTTCAAAAAGCTCTCTTGCAAAGATGAAATCTGTCTCTACCGAGGTGTCGTCCAACTTTTTTGCGAAGCTTGTTCCAGACATTTATGACAACCACCTTAAATTCTTCCAGTACGAGGTCTTTCCATCAAAGACAGAGACCTCAGGTCTATCTTGCTGACCTACGCGTGGCTCGTCGAGGGAATTCCCCGATTGGTGCGTGCTTGATGCTGAGGCATTGTTTGAATGTCCACTTTCTCCAGTATTGCTGGCTGCCACCCTTTTATTTGATGACTCAGCCCCTCCACTAGCAGGTATCGCCACATTTTCCTGTCAAGAAGTAAAAGAGGGTAAATTAAGTGCTACCGGCAATCATTGGGATAAGCGAGAACAATGATTTACCTCCACTGGGGAAGGCGAACGTCTGTCTCGTCGCCGTTTCCAGTGACGGTCATGGCTTTCCTCATCACCCCGAGTCCGACCGTACCACATCGGGCCCTGTTTTTCGAGATGATATGCTCCTTTCTCTTCTTGGGTGGTGGTTCATCTCCCCTGGACTGGATGTTTGCCCTTCTTGGCGGTGCCAGCCTCCTGCTGCACGTTGGCTGGATCCTCAGGAGCTAAACCCTTGATATTGCGCTCGAGTAGTCCCCATGGACTTGGGCCCACCAATCTTTATAGCCCGGCGAGAAATACTTCTTCATGGTGACAGTAACTCGAGTCGCGGGGAAATGTCACTCGCGACCCTGAACCCTAAGTGTAGAGTGGCGCCAACGTTGGAAACCCTCCGAAAGCGTGACCTCACGTTCATCATTGCCCAGTATGCCAGAGCTGCCGTCTTGGTAGTAGCCGAACTGTCGGCTGAATCGATGAGGAGTGTAAGGCTCTGCGATACATGCATCCGCCCATCGCAATATGAGGTGGTTAGAACGAAGACACATGAGGTACTCGTGGTCGGTAGAGTGTGCGTCCCCATATCGAGGAATGGAGATCTTTAGTTAGGCGGGCGCGTCGTGCAGAGCCAATTGGCTGTCGGCTTTGAACATCTTACGACGAGCCTCTACTGGTCCATATACCTCGCGCCACCCTCCAGAGTAGGCAATCATCAGCGGGGAAGCGGACTTTGATCATTTGCGAAATGAGTGTCGAAGTAGAACGACAGCCATCCATACACATAGTGAATGGGAAAGTGACTATCAACTGACCCCGGCCGTACTAGAGTGCGATATTACATTCAATCCATTGTAATGCTCGCAAGAAC